TACCCCTAAATAATTTTTTAAAAAAAATTAGAAGTAATAAATATAAATTTAAAACTAATTTTTTAACTTCCATTAAATGAAAGGTATATGTGAGCCATTTTTTTACGGCAGGGGTATCTGTGAGCCGTTTGTATAACGGTAAGGGCATATATGAGCCACTTTTATAACGAGGGTATATCAGCTTCGAATAACAAAGTAGAGGGATATATCAGACTCTTTTCCCTAATAACTTCTATATTTCTGCCATAAATTTTTTTGTGATGTTTATATTATGTCAACATCTCATACTACTCATTTAATGGCCATACAATCCCATGAAATATGGGTTCTTTCTTTAGCTTGACAATTTAAATTATTCACCAATTGGAAAAACCATAGTGAAGCTTTTCTTGATGATGATTAAGCCACCACCCCATCAATATCTATATGTATATATAGCCTATAAATATATTATATTTGTCCCCATTACTTTTCATCCTCTTAACAACCCCCCCACCCCACCCCCACCCCCCATCACCCCATAAAAAAAGTTAATTCATGTACTAAGTGACAATGAAGAGATGCCAAAACCCCTTTTGTTTGAAACAACATGGGCATCTTTTTTTTTTCAACTTTTGAAGTTCAACAAGGAATCCTCATAGAAGAATTATACTAACAATAGAAAATCTCACATGAAATAGGCAAAGGAAAAAAAAGCTACTTTAATTTTTCTCCACTAATGTTGTGGAAATAATTATGGATTTGTTTAAGGATTAATCAACTAAACTTTACACGCAAGCATGCAATTCAACTTTATACATATATATATATAAGGAAAAAAAAATATTTAAGAAAAAGTAAAGTTTATTCCAAGAATCACACTTATCCTTTTGGATAGATATGTAAAAGATGTAAGACACTTAGAACTTACATTAGTGAATAATAATATAAGTGATTATTGGTGTTCAATATAATTAAACCATAAAGTCTATCTATCAAAATGTGCTTTTTAAAAGGTTATATGTATGGTGACACAAAGGTTATTAGGTACTAGGATATGACTAGATTAATGTTCTATTCAATTTTCTCAATTTAGTTTACGTAGTTGTGTTTGACTGAATATAAAGCTTAATTTTTTTCTTACCACTAGTTATTTTAAATACTCCATCAATTCTTTTTGTGGTCATAAAAGCCTACCAATTGAAGTAATATGAGTAGTTTTAAATGTAATTATCTCTAAATATAAAAAATTATAAGATATGACTAGATCAATATAACATTTATAATTTATGTGATGATGTTCAATTAAGCAATGCATTTTTTTTTAAAAAAAATGACTTTTCGGTTGTAGTGTTAAACGTGTAATGAAATTTATATGATTATAAAACGTGAAAAAAAATGAGTAGAGAAATTTATATTAAATTATTTTTAGATGTAAAAACTATTCTTTTTAAAAATAGATCAATAAATAAAACTGTCACATAAAATGAAATCGAGAGAGCACTAAACTATTGCTTCTTTCTCATAATTGTTTTATTAATGTACAAATTAGATGACTATTTAAATGGTGACAAAATTTCTTAAAAGGCCATATAGTGCAAACAGTTGGGCAAATTGTGGCTAAAATGTTAAAAGTCCCCAAATTTTATTGTAAAAGAACTTTTAGACATGGGCCAAAATTGGGCTAACATATTGGGCTTCTTACAATGGGCTTGAATAATAAGGAGTTTTTATATAAATAAGCGATCGAGTTTATTTGTTTTATTTTTCTAATCGGCATATATAAATTATATATTGATTATAAATAATTATACACATATTGGCTTCTATCTAGGCTAATTTTTTGAAAAAATGATTTGTGTTGATGTAATTCCGTTATCGATACTTAATGGGTCATTTGCACTTTTAGCCCTATTTAGTGCCCGTCTTTAATTTTTGCCCCTCGGGAAAAATAACATTTTCGATGGACATAGATTTATATTCTCACAAGTTATATCATGAGTCGATAAAAAATCCATATCTCGATAGGTATATATTTAATTTCTTAAGGCGAAAATTAAAGATCAGTTCAAAGGCCCAAGCTCCTTTTAACTCCTTTGGGCCATAAAATACAATTCCCTAAAGTGAAACTCAACTTTTATCTTTAAAATAAGATGAATGGCCCAATGGGCCTAAGATGGGAATTCCAAAATGGAAACTTACATAAATATACTAAAATAAAAAATATTTACCATTTATAGCAATAATATCTTTTTTTCACTTGATCACTTTTAATTCATTTTTAATACAAGTTTAATACATATTATAAATAACAATTTATTATTCATATATAATACAAATTTTAATAATGGATAATACATTTATCGTACATTTTAATACACTTATAATACAATATGTCAAATTTTTAACAAATAAACATAATATATTTCAAAAAACAATTATAATTCATATATATTGCATACATAATTCACTTTTAATTCATATTGTAGATTTGACATAGCATTGTTATAAATGGTAATAAATAAAAAGTATTGCTAAAATCAGTAATTATTTATTAAAATGTACTAATTTATGTAATTTTTCCTTCCAAAATTAAGAATTACTGAAATCTAAATGTTTATGTTGTTAAAAAAAAAAACTCCTTCTAATTTAAATTATTTATTTTAAAAATAGTTGTTTCGATTTATTTATTAGTTTAGAAGTTCAAGTTAATGTTCTCCATTTTGCCCTTAGAAGTAATTATTCTTGAATACTATAAATATCTGATCGATTAAAATAAATATTAAATGAAGAGAGATTATATTTTAAGATATAAATCAAAGATAAAATAGTAAAAAATTCTTTACTTTTGTTTTGCCGTTGTTGATATCAACTTCTTAATTAACTAAAAATGTAAACTATTTGTCTAATTAATGAGAAATTTTAATTTTAATTTTAATGTTATATCTATTCTTGACATCATTTTACTTGGTACGCGATTTGAAAAAGAAAAAGAAAGCTTTTCAAACTTATATTCTAAAATGGATATCATATATTTCAGATGATTATAAATCATTCTATTATGAGTGGATCAGAAATTTAAAATTATAAAAAGTAGCATTCTTTTAATAAATTTTTTAAAAATATGTCATATAGATTAAGACAGAGAAAATATTAAATCCTATTCTATTCAATATGAGACTACTATGAATTATGAATTTATTATAGAAATCAAACAACTTACAATTATTTGACATATTTTTCGTATGGATACACTATTCCTTCGATAAAATTCAATAATTAAATCGTATTTTTTACGTACAATTTTCATGCTACTAGCATAATACTTTTGAAATAAACAACCAATTTAAAATTTTCTGCAGACATGTAATCCTTTTAGCTTTTTATGTGTTATTTTTTTTAATTTTAAATAATTTCGAAAGATATTTTTTTCCTTAATATTTCTTCCTTTCCAATAAAAGAGAAAATTAAAAAAAATTAATGATTTGTCAGAGAAACTTATAACATTCACCTACTAATGTGTAATAATGTGCTGTATATATTATTAATTGTCTAGCTATGTCTATCCATGCTAGCTTCATATTTAATCGTCTATAACTTGTTAAAGTATACGTCTTTTCGCTTAATTTACGAGACACGTCTCGTTTTTTTATAAGTTAAACTATGTAAATTTTAATTAATAATATTTAAAAATAATTTCTATTTTAATCATATTAGCAATAGATAAGTATTTTTTATATAGTTATTTTATTTAAAAAAATTAAATTTTAATTTTAATGTGGTGTGTTGACCAAATCAAGTGAATTTAGTTTCAAAGATTAGTCAAATCAACTCTCAGAAAATAAAAAGTATCACATAAATTCAAACTGAAGAGCAATGCTGATAACCTAAAAACTAAAACATGAACTTGAACCCGAACCATAATCCTAAATCATAAACCCTAAATTAACATGAAGAAACTTCATCGAAGATTAGTCAAATTGACTATAGAAAAATTGAAAAATATCACGTAAGTTAAAAGACGAAAGAGAGAGAGAGAGAGAGAGTGTTGATGATAACCTAACAAATATTCACATCACTTTCTATATATTGTTATCTATCTCTCACTCCATTTTCTTCAAATAACAACCACACAATATGAAGATACTTCCCTATTTTCTTCTTGTCATTTTTCTACTTAAAATAACAATTTCTGTTGAGTCCCAAACTCCAGCACTCTTAAAATATGTACTTCAATGACCACCTACTTTTTGTTTTCAACTTAATTCCAAAGAAGCAAAATTTTGCAAAGAACCAATTCCTCAAAATAAATTCACACTCCATGGTGTTATGCAAGCAAATGAAGATGGATTTAACATAAAATGTGACTATAACAAAGATCCAAATGATTTGGATAATGTGGTATGTATACATACATATTCAGAGTTTAAGTTTTATGCACTGACAATACGTGTTACATTTTTATGGCATTGTTTGTAGTTGTAAGAAGTGGAAAGTGATCTAGTAAAGTTCTGGCCCTCGCTTAGAGAAGAGTTATGGAAGCATGAGTGGCGCGTCCATGGATCATGTGGAGGAACAACACCTCAAGAGTACTTCTACAAAGCAATAATGATGAATCACACACCTGAAAAAGGAAACTTGTATAATTACTTGGAATCAAGTGAGATTATTGCAAGTGATGACTTGGCTTATACAAAACAACATATTGTTGAGGCTATACAAAAGTTGGTTTTATGAAGTTCCTTTTGTAGATCATAAACCACATTATAATGTTTACCTCTCTTGTGTTCCAATTGATTCATATAACAATACTCATGTTTACTTGAGTGAGTTTGCTTGGTGCACTGAACTTGAAGGTGTTCAATACATTTCATGTCCATCAAAACCTAATCCAACAAGTTGCCCTAATGAAGCCCTAATTATTCTCCCTCTTGCTGATATTGAGTAAGTTATTTGCACTCGATCTTTAATTATATTTTAATTGCCAATTAGGAGTTTGAGGTTCTAAATTTTAGGACAACATGTTGATAGTGGGTTCGAACTCACAACACTAGTATAAGGGTTTCCCACCTGGTGTTCGGAGCCCCAACTAAATCTGGATCGCGCACTGCAGGCCCATCTGGGGGTGGGGCTCTCAACATGATAGTATAAAAGTATTTTCACTACAAGAAAAGTGTGAACTACAGGGTAATCCCTGCAAATTTTCATACTAATCCCCATTTAATTTACCCTTTTCTTGTAGTGTTTCATCACTCATCGTTACTACTTTTGTCAATGAATTCTGTTAACTGTTCACAAATTAATATAAATATATACTTATTTTATTTTCTAATACAAACACAAAATCTACGAAAAAACTAGTTTGTTGATATGAACCCACGAACCCCTACCTAGCTCTGCATATAAGTTCAAGAAAAGAAAACTTTTGAAAATTCTGATTTGTAAGCAAGCTAGGTAGAGATAATTCTTATTAAGGAAATTATATTTGATTTTTTTGTTTTTGTTTTTAATGGATTGATAATTGAAAAAGATATATAGTGTTAAATAAAATGAAATGAAAGGGAATATATCTAATCAATGAATGCAAGAGATAATTCGTTTATCCTAATTTATGATGTGATATTATAAGAGTTTGTATGACTAATAATTTAAAGTTACACTTGGTATGTTTGTTTTTTGAAATTAAATTGAAATATTAAATTGATTCAGTATTTCAAAATTTAAATTTAGATTTTAAAAAATAATATGTAAAGTATTACGATAAATTGCAATTTTCTGATGTTAATATGTTGATCAAAATATAATAACCATCGAGTTCTAATAAATATTTACTGATTTAAATTTTAATATTAATGTTTAATTATATATTTCTTTGTAGGTTGGATCCTCCTTTTGCTATCATGTTTTTTAGTTTTTATCGACATTAGTTAGTCATTAGATTCAATAATACTATAGACTAAAAGCGACAATTTAAAAAAAGTGTTAAAATATAATTATTACTAGTAATTAAATTTAAATAAAATTATCTAGCAATAACAATTAAATCATTACTATTAAAGCTTATTTTTTGCATAATTTATATAATGAAAAAGAGAGAGAGAGAAATTTTGAGTCACAATAAATATAAATAAAATAGAAAGATGATCATTTTATTTGCTTCATTATTCAGTACATATCACAGTCACAATTAAAAACATTATTCATCTTTCTATTATTAATAATAATAATTAATATTATTATTAGTCGCTAAACTTTCTAATATAATAAAGCTTCACACAATTGACCAAGAATCTCCATAAGCTATTTGGTCCAAGCTTTTCTCCTGTTGTTTGATAGGCTGCAGAAAAAAATTAAAATAAATCACCATATTAGTTTAATATGGAATTGTTTAAAATCAATAAATAATTTTATTTTTAAAAAAGCTTGAAAATTTGTCATAATTTATACTCTTTTTAAGTTATGTACTTGTAAATGTCATAGCAAATTATTTATGATCTTAATTAATAGACTATTACTCCATCTAATGAGTTAAATTTAAATTAAAGTAAAAATATTTTTTTTTCTTTTGTAATTGTTCACTTTGGAATAGAAAATAGAACTAGCGGTGACAGATCTATCAGTAAACATAAATTGCTATCGCTCACCTGATTGGATGTCTATTTAACAGAGTTCAGAGCTTAAAAGGTATAAAATATTAACAAAAATTTCAAAACGGTATTTAAAGTTTTGTATTAATCAAAACAGCAAATCGCTGGAACAACAACGATTTTGCAAAATGTGATTTTTTTTTTAAAAAAAATTCAAATCGCTACCTAGGTAGCGATTTTCAATTTTTTTTAAAAATATTTTTTTAAGAAATTTTATTTTTAGAAAATCGCTGCCCATTTTTTGAAATTTTTTAAAAGAAAATCGATGCCTTTTCTTTTCTTTTCTTTTTTAAAATCGCTGCATAGGCAGCGATTTGAATTTTTTTTTATAAAAAAAATCACATTTTACAAAATTGCTGCAGTAGCAGCGATTTTGCTTTTTCCGGTGGGGGAAATCGCTGTTGTTCCAGCGATTTTTCCATTTTGGTTAATATAAAATTTTATATACCGTTTTGGAATTTTTGTTAATATTTTATACCCTTTAGGCTCCGGACTCCTATTTGACAGATGTATAAGCATAGTAGAAATTGTCAAAAAAAACTTTAACGACTTTGAATATAACGATATAACTCAATATAATTATCCTTAAATACTTAAGTGAAAAAAAAACTATTACTACAAAATATCTCTTTTGTTACGGTGTCTAAGAAAGAACGTACCTTTGGAGGCGAAGGACGAGGAACAATAATGTTTTGAACACGACAACGTTTGTTAATGAGAGAAGTTGGACAATTCACAAAATTCTTTGCATCATTTGTGTAGCAAAATGTAACTTGATTCAAATAAGCATGAGTTGTGTTAATGTCTTTGCAAGTGAAAGACACATCTTTATCCTTTGCAACTTGTTTGAATGAGTTCAAGATCTCAACATTGTTGTATGTAGCAGAGTCACAAGGGACAATTCCATTTGAGCTTATTAAATGACTTTGTAATAAATCTCCAATTTCACTATCCAATCTTGAAGCCCTATTGAAATATTGTATTGGAGTTTTGAACCTTTCTATTGTACATGTTCCATATGTATTCCAAGCTTCCTTCCACATGTCTTTGGGATCTTGTTTAGTAAGAGAGGGCCAAAATACGTTGAGTTTATCTACCATCGCGGTATCAAACTGTGACAAACAAAAAAAAAAGAATTATCTTGTTAGCAGTGACGGAGGCAGGAATAATATTCTTGCCAAGGAGGTTAGGTGACCCCTTAAATAAACGTGAACGCTTGTTAGTATTGTTGAAGATATAGTTAAATAAAATGATGATCTATTAGAGAAAATAAGATGATTGTGCGATTCAACATGGTATGTTAGGGATCGAGGATCTGAATCTCATAACCTCCACCTATTAGATGGAAATTTTTTTTTCTTCTTATGTGTTTGAGTTAAAGAAAATAATCAGACTCACATGTGAAAGGAACTGTATTGAAATTGTAATGAAATAAATAAGAAAACGTAATTTATCTAACAAGTTGATCTTTTAGACGAAATATTCACAAATTATATATTTTACTTTCCAAAATTATACAACTAAGTTTAAAAAAAATAAATCATACCACTTTGTTCCAATCACGTTCTACTGGATCTTTACAACCTTGTTGAATATTTCCATTGGAATCTGTGCCCCAAAAACCTTTTAGAGTGAATTTGAGAGGAGGAATTTGCTTACATCCCACAGGGGTATCCTTATTACAATAAGTTTCTGACCATTTATAAACAAATTGTGTTTGTGCTATATTTTGTTAACAAACACAAATGAAAAATAGTGTGAGATGAGTGAGAAATAAGAGTGAAAGATTATTCATTTTCATATATTTTTTAAGATATAGTCTATGAGGAAAAAACTTGCTATGAACTACATGAGAATATATAGATGCCTTATAAGGTCCTTTGTCTATTTAAAATAACCCACCCCACCCCACTCCACCCACTAGGGTGAAAAAACCAATAGGACGCGATCTATTTTACACTATTATTGAGTATAAATCGTCTGAATTTGGTAGATTGAAAAAAAGTTGATCGGTATAAGAAACGATTGATTCGGTAGGTAAAAATTAAATTGAGTGACTTGGAAAGAAACTCGCCCTTTGATATTGTAAGGTAAGAATTGGCCATAGGCGATGACTTAGTGAAGGAAATCTATGAGAAAAGGATTTTGATAAATTTCATTTTTGATAAATTTAGTGGATTTATATTTTAGTTTGAATAGTAATATTTTGGTCGAGAATGGTGATAAATGAATATATATTGGCTAACTATTTTATATGTAAAATAATTTATCTTCGTTCTTCTTTTCATATTTGTTTCATTATTTTTATGAGATTTGAAATAAATCATAAAAAAGAAATCCTTTCTTTTAAATTTAAATCGTATGAGTAGTTGATTTTCATTTATCCTCATATTTGTATGAGGTAGTATTTATTTATTTTTAAAAAAATAATGTTGAAACTAAAATAAAAAAAATTTACAAAATAAATTACGAAGAAGACGATGAGTGGTGTGGGGGGTAGGGGTACTTTTCTTTTTTGAAAAAAGTGTCAAAATTAAAGAAGTAGAAAATTCTTTTAAGTTAATTATAGAGTCAAGTATCATAAAAGAAGAATGTGTATATATATTTTACTCACTAAGGAAACGCAAATATAATTTTTGCCATATCAGAATTCTATGTTTAATATGTATATGTTTTGAATAATTTAGATGTTCAAAAGATACAAATTCAAATTAAATTATTTAAGTGTAGTATTATATAAACAATTTTAAGAGGTTATCGGTAACTTAATATATTATTTTATAAAAGATTCTTTTAAGACTAAACAATATTACATGTCTTGATTTAAATTTATTATTGAAAATTGTGATACAATAATATTATATTTTCATCACATATTGATGCATGTGAAGATCAACTTTCATCATGAATTGGATAAGACGAAGACTTAATTGCCCCACCTTGTTATATATTATTTTATAAAAGATTCTTTAAAGACTAAACAATATTGTATATCTTATCAATTTAGATTTATAATTGAAATTGTGATATATTATTATATTTTCATGCATGTGAAGAAATTTCATCATAGATAATATAAGATGGAGTGCTAACAATTACTCCACTTTGTTTTATATTATTTTATAAAAAGATTCCTAAGACTAAACAATAATATATGTTTTAGTTTAGATTTGTTAATGATAATGTAACATAAAATTATATTAGTTCACATTATCTGCATGTGAAATATTTAATTAATATTAATATTAAATAAGATGAAGGGATA